TTTAGATGTGCAATCTCCAGCTCATTTGTAGACACACATGCTTGCAAGATCATTAATAGAAAATATTGTAAATTATCCATCAGGTGTAAGAAGCATAGAACAAGCAACCGAGCAGTGCTGTCATGCAGTTGGAAACCTGGCAGTGTGTCATGTGGTATTTTTACTAGAAGGTACTTTATGGGAGACCATCTAGTCCAGACTCAGTTTGCTTATGGTAACCTGTCTATTTGAGAGTTATTCTTATCTCCTGTTTCTAATAATATTGGTTGTTCAACAAACAAACCCGGTGGTTATCATCACTTATTGCAATACTGAAATATAGCTAAAATTCCTAAAACTGTCTCAATTCCAATATACTTTGATTTTCAATATGCAACATCAAACTATGGATGTGTCAAATGTATGCATCTTTTGCTAACTTTAGTGAAATATGCCTAAAGCTGAATAAGGAACTTCTCTCTGGTGACTGTGGCTGCTTGGTAGGTAGGTTTCTCAGTGACAGATTTGGCAAGCACCATGGTGTGCCCTTTGGCACAATGCCCTTGGCTCTGTGACACCTACAGGCAGGGATGGTCACCAGGCTGGGCCAGGTCTTTGGTTGTGTGCTGAGTCCCTAAAGTGACCTTGTCATTGTAGCTGGTCTCTTGCTTTCTTCCTGTTCAACCACTTACTTTCTTCCTGTTCAGCAGTTTACTCTCTGTCCCACCTGCCTGCTCTACTACCAAGGCCAGGCAACTTCCTCAGTTATTAACATCCAAGACATTTAAATGACTCTTTTCACTTTCCATATTTTTGGCTTCATCAAATACAGCAATCCAGAATGCTCACAGGAGGAAACAGTACAAAGACTGGAGCTTGGGTCAGTGGGATTCTCAGTTGTGATTTGTCGGCATCCAGGCACCCACTGCCTGGCTCCATTAAAGCAAGGACAGTAGTTGCACCAAGTTTGCAATGCACAGACGTGACATTTGTGTCCAGAAGGACTGCTCTTGCTACCAGAGAACCAGAAGTCGGTGACACACCTGTCACCAAGCCATCTTCATTCTTGCCACTTATTGGAGTTTTGGTGAGATCCAGTGTAACTCAGTTGTCTTACCAGCTGACATACCAGATGAAAAGGAATTATAGTTGTTTTGTTTAATGTCACTTCAAATAGTTATATTTTCTTTAAGAATTAAGCAGTGGCCTGTATCAACAAGTCACCCTATTTCAATAGAAAAAGAAAAGCAAGTGCTGAGTTTAATCTCTTAACTTTGAACACAATCATTAAGTTTAAGGTTCTTGCATAGACCATCTGATGGAACCACCCAACGTCACCAGATGGAATCGATATCAGATCATGCTACGGCTCCACGAGTAGGCTCCTAATTAATCCCATGGTTAAGGAATGTAGGAAGATTCTTAAGAATACAAGCAGAATAAGCCTATTTGGATTGTTTATTTCATCACCTTTTTATCTGCAGGCTCCTATGTCTGCACTTCTGAAAGCAACTGGTACCATAAAAATTCATTGTTGGAGACCTTTGCTATTTTACCACCCACTAAATTCACAGAAGCACTTTACCACACCCACACTTTATAAAGATGCATATAGTTTTATAGATCAGAAAAAGAAATTTCATTTTATAAAAACATGTTGATGTTGTAAAGTGGCCAAAGCACCAAATATCCACGATCCCAAAACAATGGCAGCACACACACCCTTCAGCTCACCCACGGGCTGTGTAATGGATAATATTTGTGTAACTAAATAGTGTTTTATGAAGATATGTTTGGAAATAAGTTCTACCTTGTAAGCTGTAACTTTTTTTTTTTTTTTAATGCCCTTCCTTAGCCACTGTTCCTCATTTTTTGGGACTATTTTTCCCTTTGATCTTTCCTTTAGGTTCTTTTGAAAAATAAATCGAAGTGACATTTAAAACTTGTTCCAGTTGTTCCAATATTTTGGCCTATACATCTACATTCTATCAAAGTACTCTTTTCTTTTAAAATTTAATGAGTATTTTATTTGAGTATCCCATTTTGCTCTTGGGGAAAAGCGACACCAAACACGGGTTCCTAAGGCAGTCTCCAGGATGGGCTTATGTCTAATACACTTGACAAAGAACTCTGGATTTCTTCCCCGGCCTCAGTGGCCTTGTTTCCACTCCCCTCCTTCAGTTGTTGACTTGCATCTTTCGAGGCTGTGATGAAAGAGGAGAAAGAGTGATTCATCATTTCCTTCGGGCCATAGCCTCATGAATTTTCTTCTCTTTACCTAACTAATCATCATCACTACTAATTATGCTCCAGAAAATAAACTGGAATGCAGTTCAGGCTGCTTAATATAGAACACATCAGTGTATAAATCAGAGGCTGCTGTCAAAGTGGCTTTATGTGGCCGAACATCGAAAATAGGAACTGTGTTTCCCATTCTGCTTTTGTGTTCAGCCTGCACCATAAGGCCTAGAACATACTGGGATAGAGTTGGAAATTGGGTAGTAGAATCTAATTTTAAATGAGCTTAACACAAATTAAGTGAACATTACTTTGAGGGTAAATTCATGAATAAAATCACACATTGGTTTTGTTGAAGAATGATGGTACAGCAGGTCTTGGAGCAGAGCCAAGAGGAGCACTTGCCTATCTCCTCTGAGCTGTTCAAAACGGCAGCTCTTACATGGCCAGGAATCGCCTCTGGGCAAAGCACACAGCCCACTGTGCAAATGGTAGGTGAAGTCACTTGACCTTCAGCCGTGACTCCATCATCCCTGGTTGGCCAGTGAGGAAGCAGGTTCGGATAAGTGGGGTGACTTGCGTTGGTGCCAGAGTTAGGATGTGCCAGAGACCAAAGCCACTCCAGTTTTGTTGTTTCTTCCTCCATAGTTCAAAGTGGTCAATTCTTCTCCACATACGCATTTCCCATCTCACCTGTGATGTTATGGCCGGATCCCCATCGGTAGACTTTAACACTAAGGAGAGATAAGAGCAAGATTAACAACATTTTAGTGGGTATAAAGTTAGAGGTATCCTACCCACACATTGGGATCTCTACTTCCATTCACATTTCCTACTGCAGCCATCCTACACATCCTGCTTCCTAAGCTCTCTGTGCAGATTTCCTCTTGCACCTATGGCTAGAGGTCACCCTGCTGGACTGCCCAGACCAGACCAGGCCATTCGGCTTCAAGCACCTTCTCTTGCCTCCTCTGCCCCTCTTTGCCTCAGTTCCTCTATTTTAAAAGATTTAAAAAAGTGTTCCTTGATTCTGCTCCCTCCTTGCATGATCTGATTCTTTCAGTGACACCATGATCCTGTCAAGACTGTACCTCGACTTCTTTCCCCTGTGACCTTAATAGCAGTGCACTGCCTGACCCCTCCTAGGCCTCTTCTCACTTTCTACCTCCTCATCCTATTAACCTCTAACACAGAGTAGCCTGCTACCAGGTCTTCCCAATCTGCCTTGAATGGATTGTTCTCCTATTCTTTATCTTTCTGGTGTTTTCCCATTGCCCACTATAAACTCCCAAATCTTTGGCCTGGCCTTTGAGTCTGGCTATGGTCTCCAGTCTATGGGGAGAGGTATAGACATACCTGATTAGCTCATTCACCTTTCCCTGTGGGGTCTGCTATTTGGCTGGGTCTAGGGAAGAGTATACATAGGCTCTCTGAGAACTTTCTTTCAAAGGCATCTGTCAAAGATGGAAGAGCTAAAGCTATAAAACTCTTAGAGAACATCTGTAAGTGATTCTCAGATTAGAAAATATCCCCTAGCCAATGTCACACCTAGAAAAGAGAAATAATTTTATAATTGCTGACATTCTTTCCTTTGCTCATGCTGATTTCTTAACCTGAAAATAGCCTGTCTTTGATTTTACATGTCTGACTCTTATCTATAACCAGGTTTTTCACTGAGACATCCCTGATTCCTCCAATTCCTCCAGCTCTTTTGTAGCACCATGTTGTTTTGTTTTGGGCAGTACTGGGGATTGAATCCAAGGGTGTTCTATCACTGAGCTACATTCCATACATTCCAACCCTTTTTATTTTATATTGTGAGACAAGGTCTTGAAAAGTTGCCCAGGCTGGCCTCGAACTTGCAATTCTCCAGCCTCAACTTCCCAAATAGCTGGATAGTATTGCTTTTAGGGGCTAGGGGTGTAGCCAAATAGTAGATCACTGGCTTAGCATGCATAAGGCCCTAAATTTGACCCTCAGCACTGCTTTAAAAAGAAAAAGGAAAAAAAAAAAAAAAGCATTGGCTTTTAATCATGTTTCTTGGTGCAGGCCTAAACACCTACATTAGAAGATTTGATTGGAAAATATTAGTGCTATTTTGGAATTAGAGTGCCTTTGTGACCCCCACTGCCTTCAGGGTCACTGCTGCCCTAGTTCTGTTGTTTTGTGTTTTGTTCTCTTTTTGTGTCTTAAAACCAATTGATCTTATCTCTGGAAAAGATGAAAAGGTGCATTTTTGTGCTTCAGCCCTTGGCGTCGTTTTAATTACCTGCGCGAAAGAAACAGTCCTCCCTAGGTAAGCTAGCTAGGTTGGCAGAGCACCTAGATTTGTGAAGTTACCTGAAACTGGCAGTTAATACTTACAGCAGGGTAAGTAGAGGCAGAAAAAGAAGGTTGGAGGATCTAAACAAAGAAGTTTACTTCTAGAAAATGCTACCAACACACCAGAAGCTAGAGTTTCTCCGGTGTCATTTAGAATGACCCACGCTCTGCTGAGATGCGCAAAATGGAAAAACAGATTCCTCCTTTGTGAAATAAGAGTGCATAGTCTACACCTGTCCAAGGTGCATTTCTTTGGGAATGGGTGTGTTTGTTGTGACGTGCTGCCTGAGAACATTCCATCACCTTCCACTGAGCACTATAGGAATCCTATGGTCTCACCTGTGGGGACATTTTATGCTTTTGACCCAGGATCAAGACCTCAGGGCTGTGGTGTAAATCTTCTAACTTTATGGACAAGTTATTGAATGAATTAATTCGTTTGCGTTGTTTATCTCCCTCAGAAATGAACACGCCCACGAATGCTAGATGCCTGTGAGCTCCCTCGGCGGCACTGGAAAGGCAGAGTGGAGGCCTCCGAGTACCGGCTCCTTGCCCTTGGTCTTGGCGCTGCCCCTGCTGCTCACGGTCCACCATGGAGACGCTGTCCCAGGATTCTCTGCTGGAATGTCAGATCTGCTTCAACTACTACAGCCCCCGGCGGAGGCCCAAGCTGCTGGATTGCAAACACACCTGCTGTTCGGTGTGCCTCCAGCAGATGAGGACGAGCCAGAAGGACGTGAGGTGCCCCTGGTGCCGCGGCATCACCAAGCTGCCCCCTGGCTTCTCCGTGTCGCAGCTGCCCGATGACCCCGAGGTCCTGGCCGTCATCGCCATTCCGCACACCTCCGAGCACACCCCGGTCTTCATCAAACTTCCTAGCAATGGGTGCTACATGCTGCCCTTGCCCATCTCCAAGGAGCGCACACTGCTGCCCGGAGACATGGGCTGCCGCCTGCTCCCCGGGAGCCAGCAGAAGTCCGTCACGGTGGTGACCATCCCTGCGGAACAGCAGCCGCTGCAAGGCGGGGCTCCGCAGGAGGCAGTGGCCGAGGAGCCGGACAGGCGGGGCGTGGTGAAAAGCTCCACCTGGTCGGGCGTGTGCACTGTCATCCTGGTGGCCTGTGTCTTGGTCTTCCTCCTGGGCATCGTGCTCCACAACATGTCTTGCATTTCTAAGCGCTTCACTGTGATATCCTGTGGCTGAGGCGGGGTGCAGGGAAGGCTCTTGTGGGTGTCAACTTAGGGGGTTGAGTAGGTGTTGGTGACGGGATCCCAGCGAGAAGATGGGGGGCGACACTGACCATTTGGTGCTGAGCGCTGGCCTCTGGGTTGCCACTTGATTCACCTGAAGACAGATGCCAAGGGAGGAAGGTGAGGTCTCTACAAGATGCCAGGTGAATTGATCTGAGTGTGGATGGCAACGGCTTTGAAGATGATTGCATGCATCCTCATAATCATGAACTAAATGGGCTGTGATTTATGAGTTTTCAAGATCATGTTATGAGATAGACATACTCTACTTAGACCTTAAACCGTACATGTGCATACCATGTGATCTCTAAATGCGGTAGATGAAAATAAAGATGCTGTGTATACAAGTAGAATTAAATCTTGAATCCATGTAAAAAATTCAGTGAAGACATACACTGCAGGCTTCTTTGCTCTTTTTTTTTTTTTTAATGGAACCCAGTCTTCATCTAGTTGCTAAGATTTTTTTATATATATATATATATATACATTTTGAATGGAACCCCAAATCAAAATAAGTGAAATGGATAGTCGTTTTTGTTTTTGGAGAAAATATTTGAACAAGTGTCTCCAGTGTGTTGTGTTTTGTCATGTACCTTCATTTTTCTTCACTTGTGATTAGAGCTTGCTACATGTTTATTAAGCTGAAAGCCCACCAGGGAAGCAATAAACCAAGAAATAATGAGAAATGCCTAATCCCGCAGGAAACCTGTATGCCAGTTTTTCTCAAGCCATCTCACAAAATAAGAATTTAAAATGTAAATATTGTGTATTTGTGTGTGTATGTGTGTGTGTGATTTGATTTACCTCAGGTTTTTGAGTCTTTTCAGAAGAACCCCAGGATTAAGACCTCGTGGGCATGAAGAAGTCAAGTATCTGAAACGGTGGGCACCTCGATCCTCCCAATGAGACATCCCCTATGCGACACCCCAATACTCACCCCTCTGCTCTGTGTTTAAGTCCTGTATTTTTTAAGGCACAAATGGAGAGTAACAAAAGTTTGACTTTTCTCCTAGTTCTGGAGTATTATAAAAGCCACACTTGTTGTTAGCAATGGCAAAACTGATGGGCATTTCAAAAGGCAGTCCACAATTATTTTTTTGAAAGATGCTGTTCCTTGAGCATTAGACCTTTTTGAATTCCAGTTTCCTCTTGTTGGTGTAAGCAAGAAAATCTTCTGTATTTCAAAATATGTTTTTTATTGAGAGAAATGGCAAGGTAGACTTACAATTCACATTCCTAATGTAAGTGTTCTTAAATGTGTAATGGTTTATAGATGTTCATAAAGAAAGAACTGCTGGATTAAATAATAAATTCTCATCTCTGGGTTTGTCTGCATGTAGAAATAACTGTAAATGTTATAGTTTTCTTGTAATTCCTTTTATGGAATTCAGGAAGTAAGTGGTGGTATGTGTCAAGAACTCCACTCAAATATATGTTTTTAGGTATAAATGACTCCTGGAAAATGGTGGGAAGGGTAGGGGTGGGGAGAAATAGGGACAGAAAAGCAATGACTGGTTCCAAAAAGGAAGGCTAGAAAGAAGCCCTGTAAGATCAAGACAACTTTATTTATTTATATGCTAACTATTATCTTCAAGCAGCACAAAATATGCATTCTAAAGTGATGGAGTTCATGTGAAATAAAACAAGAATTAATAACTAGAATACAAAGCTAACACCTAATTGGCATGAGAATTCAATATAAAAATAGGAACTCTGGTCTTTTCAGATCTTTCAAATTTGTCGTAAGACCTTTAGAAAATGTGTTTGAAAGCTCAAACTATAAATTAGGTTAAAATGCCATTTTATTGTACAAGCTATTGGGCATTATACAACAAATAATCTAGGATTTATTTTATATTAATAATTTAGGTATCATATTAGCTGAATACTATCCTCTATTACATAACATAAAATGCTGTTGGGTTAGTGTCAATTTCTCAAACTCCCAGGCTGCTGTAATGCATGTCTGACCTAATTTCTATTTCTCTTGGAGGAAAAAGAAAAAAATGACAGAAATGTTGCATTTAAAATGCTGCATTTAAAATGGACTTTACCTTTGTAATTTTAAGCCATGTCATATTCAAATTAATTTTTGAGCGATATCTGCATACATTTATGTACAGTATGAAATGACTGACCTGTAGTGTAGTATGTGATAGAGTTCTACTTGTTTAGTAGGTTATATATAGACACTAATGTGTGTGGTGATAGTGTCCTGTGTTTCTTAGTGCAAAGCTGTAAAGTAAAAATGTCCACAGAACTTTTACTTACAAACAATCCTGTGCTAGAACTGCAATTAAGCAGTGCAAAATTAATTAGCTCTCTGGTAGATTCTTGACCTTAAAACTTAACAATAATCACCCAAATCGGAATTTTTTGTGTGTAAATCTTACTGATGTAGGTAGAACATTATTTAAATTGTTTAAATGGATTCTGCTTGCAGGTTGAACACCTCCTTATTAGGATGTGCTTTTGAGTGTGTGTGTGTGTGTGTGTGTGTGCGCGCGCGCGCGCGCTCTTGCGCTCATGAGTGGGGGGCAGGGAGGAGAAGAGGCAAAGAGATTTCTTAGCCTGCCAGATAGAATTTTTCCAGGCTTAATGATGTTTTGATGTTACCTGGCAAGCCATTACTCTGGTCTCTTCTGAAATTTACCCACAACACTAACAACTTATGCATCCCTTGTGACAAAAGCCCAGCGACACAGAGGCCGGAATTCATAGTTGCATACCAGTGAAATGTCACAACTGGAAAGCCCAGGAAGAGCTGAAAACAGCCTCCGATGGTTTCGTGTTGTAGATGAGCCCAGGGCGGCTCAGAGAGGAGTGTGGAGACTTGTAATTCTGCAGCAAAGGGGGATGAGAACTGTGCATTGCTGTCCCTCTTGCTTCTTTCTAGATCCATCACCGTGTCTATCTGGCTGAGCTTCTAGTCGGGGTTGATGGAGACCCTTTATTATCTCAACTACTGCTTTAAAAGTGTTGTTTTATAGTTTCTTCATTTTAGTTAGCTACCTCTCTGGAAAACAAAAAAAGGTTAGGGTTAGGGAAGAGGATAGACATTTAAAAGAAACTGTCTGACCATATTATCTGAGTTTTTAAAATTGCAAAGAACAATGTGTAAAGAACAATGAGTGTTGTGTAAATAGTAAACTATAAGCAGCATGTGTTTTCATCTTTATTAATGATCTTGACATAAGCAAGAGAATGCTTTAATATGTTTAGTAGAGCTAAGTATGCCACCAAAAAACATTGTCTTTGAAAAAATTTTGTATAATGACTTGGGGCACAAATTTTGATGAAAAGGCAAATTGGTTCTGAGTTCCAATCACATTTTTTGATCAGAAGGCTCTAAGGTATTTTCTTTTAAAATGTAAGTTTAATATTGTGTGTGGCTTACAGAGTGGCCCCTTGGAGTTTCAGCTGTGCACTGGTGTAGCCCTTACAGTTTTCTAGATCAGTGCCATTCTGTGGAACATTCTGGAATGATGGAAATGTTCCATAATGGGTGTTGTCCAGTAAAATAGCCACTGTCCACAATGACTGACAATTCAAATGCGGATAATATGACTAAAGAACATATCTTTAAATTTTATTTAATTTTAAACAATTTAAAATAGAGCCCCATGTGACTAGTGGCTACCATATTGGCTCATGGCATCAAGGTGTTCCTAACAGACCAGAGAGAATTTGTGGGCTAGTAACAAGCATTTGGCAAAAAAAAAAATAATAATAATAAAAACAAAATCCTTTCTGGGCTTAAGAAGTGTGTGATCCCAAGTATAACAGTGAGAACTCATTGGTTGCCCTTTGGGGTTATTAGATATTTTGGACCAAGGAATCATCAGTGAAGCTTAAAGAGTGTTTTATTAAGCCCCTTTTCTGGGACCATTAGCTGCATGTGAATCTATTGTCCAAAAATAGTAGTTAGACAGTAGCTGTAAAACGTTTGACTTGCAAGCTGTGCATGATCTGTCCTGTGAAATTGTGTTTAGGGTCTTGTGGCCAAAGAGTAAATGTTACAGGAAAAAATAAGCCTAATGAAATCCTTCTTCACTTTCAGTATCTTACCCACACTTCATTGCTGCGTTCGTCAGGTGTGAGATCTAAGAGCAAGCGTGTTTTTGGTGTTCAGAATGGTTTTGTTGCCCTTGAAGTCTGCCAGCTTGTCATTGTATTTGGTATGGCATATGTAGGCATCATTTGTCAAATGCCAGACGAAAACGCAGGTACTATTTTTAGAGTGGGATTTGGCAGTGTTTTAGTGTCTCTTGTTTTAGCTATCACTAAAAGAATTTAAGATTTGAAGCTTTGCACAAAGTCACTTTTTAAAAATCTATTTTAGGGTAAAAAAACAAAACATTGCCCAATAGAATTTAAAGACTGGAAGATTATTAAAGCTACTAGAATTGATTTTTTTTTCTTTTTTCTTTGTGGTGCTGGGGATTGAACCCAGGATCAGGCCCTGCACCACTGAGCTACATCCCTAACCCTAGAATTGCTTTTAAAGTGAGTCAAAGGAAACAGAAAATTCAGTTTGAGATATATTTTCATATAAAGATCAGACTTTTACTGGTAGCCTGCTATTATTCTGGTCCAGATTTTGATTTGAAGAGTTTCCATTCCTTTATTTGAAAATCTGTGCCATAGCCAGACACTGTGGTGCTTGCCTATAATTCCAGCTACCTGGGAGGCTAAGGCAGATGATTGCAAATTCAGGGCCACCCTGAACAACTTAGGGAGGCTCCATCTCAAAGATGAAAAGAGCTGGGGCGTGGCTCAGTGCCAGAGTACTCCTGGGTTCGATTTCCAGTATCACCAAAAATTTAAAAAGAAAAAGAAAATCTGTTAAAATTGGTTAGTTGGATTTTCATTGTGTCCAAAATGTAATGCAAGTCAAATGCATTTGCTTTAATGTAGGAAAAAAAAATTTTTTTTTAATTCTAGAACTTGCCAGTGGGCAAGACTTTTTTTTTTTTTCAGCTCTAGAATTTTGTTTTTAAATTTTTGTCAAAATGTAAGTTATTCTCTATACTTTTAAGTTGGGAGCCCAAAGGTCATTGTTGGGTGAGGAATGACACACAAAAGACTGTGATTTCCATCTTTCCTTTAGAGAAATGATGCTGCTAACTAGGCAGCATTTTGTTCCCACACAGAAGTGTCAGCCAATCTATCTGTCATCCTTGACCTCAGTGGAGAAGCCATTCCTTGACCTTTCCACCATTCTCAGTAAAACAACACCCAGAAGGTAATCCTTACCAAACCAGAAATTCCAAAGAATGAGGTCACCAAATTAATTCCTGACTCTTTTGAAAGCACTCTGTTTTAAGAGCAATGATGATCAGTTGCTGGATTTTGCTACACATACACACAAATACACAGTTTAGCTGTGATTGGAGATAAAGTTAAAACCACTGTTAGTCCTATTTCCCAATTCGTGAATTATACAGTATTGAATTTAGATGTTAATTTCTTAACAATTGCTATCAGCTGCACTCATGTCAAACCAATTACCTTTGGGAGTAAGCTCTTCAGACTTCTCAGAATATTTGAAAAGTTGGGTTCTACTACATTTATTTTGTTGGAAAGCCATTGGTCACTGAGGGACATAAGCAAGTGGGGCATTTTAATTTCTGTCTCTTAGAGAGCTTACGTTTTGGCTCTGCTTGAGGGGTCAGGACGGTGCACCATTGCTCCTGAACTTCTACAGTGTGGCTCCCATTTCTGCACAAGTTTCCTTGCTCTGTCTAGCCAATTATCTTTTGATTTTTTCTGGAGTCAACTGCCTGGGATATCCCACTGTGTAAATCTTACTTATGATGTAGTGGTGCTTGAAAACACATGTTCACTGAATTTTATTCTAATCTAAGGGTTTTGATACCATTCATATTATGATACTTTTAGGGACAATCAATAATTATAGCCAAGTACCAAGGGGCTTCCTGAGATCTCCCACGGTATGCCTGTTCTTTGTTTTTGCAGGAATTTTTTTCTTTTTATCTGTCCCTGTTCTTCCAAACCCCTGTTCTGAATTCATCACCATGAGATGTGGGGCGAGGAGTCCATGGGAAAGTCTATAATCTCCCTGAGGTGTGTGTTATTGGGTTAATCTAACAAGAGGGATGTTTAGTTTTCAATTTGACTTTTACTTTTTGAGAATCCAGAAGGAGGTGATTGGGTATGGTAGAGAGAGAGCATGGGATGTAAAAAGGGAGAGATGTGACAAATGCCCCCTACAGGAGAAGTTGATATATCTCTAAGTAGTGAGGGGACAGTTGCTGTTATCTTACACTGTGCTGGATTGGCTGGGAGAGAACCCAACTATTAAGTGGACCCTCCTTGGGCGAGGTAGAGAAGGCCTTGGGTCTGTATCAAGGGATAGGTAGATATGCTCAGTGAGGGAGAAAATACTTCACAAAGGAGGGAAAATCTGTGATACAGATAACTGCAAAACAAGAAATGGGCACTGAAGGTCAGTCGTGGCAGAGACCAGCTTAGGACAACTGGGATAACTTGGTCAAGCACAAGCTGCCATTATAGCGTGGACTCCAAATTCAGTTTTTTTCCCTCCCCCTATCTTTTTGTCTCTCTGTCTCTGCGGCTCTCTTTAGTTGAAGATGAACCCATGCTCAGCTGATGGGAGGCTCCAGGGAGGCCCCATTTTTCCTGCCATCCTCTACAATACTCTCAGGTTGGGTGGTCAGTACTCTGGACAGTACAGATCTGCTCTAGACTTGGTGGCTGATTCAATGCAAACTCAAGTCTTCTGAACTGTGGAAGGCATTGCTGAGTCTGTGGCTCTATCCTGACCTGAGTATCTTACTTCCGAGAGAAACTTAACCTCCTTGAGAATCTTACTACTGTTGGGAAAGTTGGTTGAAGACTGTTTTGGTTTCTGTTCTGGTGGTTGTCATTTATTATGTTTATTCCTTCTGCCACTTGTCCATGTTTGTCTCACTTGACAGTCACAGGTGTGGAAGCTGGTTTCGGTCTGGGTGGTCACACTGCTGCCCAGGGTACCTTCCCTTCTGAGAGCTCTGCTGGTGGGTTCCCTGGGCCCCTGGGTAACAAATGGCTAGATTAATGCTGCCCGGAGGCTGTTAACCAGTCCTTGACATGTTTTATTTACAATTATGTGGATTATTTATTTTAGGAGCTTTTCTTTTAAGGGGCCAAATCGCTCTACAGATAAATGAGCTGCTGGGCCACGTAGAAAATATTGTCCAAATGTTGCCAAATATTGACTTCGTAAAGGGGATATCAAGCTGCTGTTTATAAATCTGAATGTCTTAAAAGCATTCTTGCTTGCTCTCTCTGTTATAGATGGTGTCTTAGCCAGTCCTGAGTTTTTCCAATGAATCCAATTTTAATATATGGTATTTTTGTATGCCAAACTGGTGTCTTGTCCTTTGTATATGTGGTAATGTTGATTTTATGACTACTGTTAAAACACATTTGCTATGATTAAAATTCAAAATGATTTCAAATAGACTCACTCATTGTTTTTCCCCTATCTTTTTGTCTCTCTGTCTCTGCGGCTCTCTTCCTCCTCTCCCCATCTCCCCCTCCCCAACACACACACACACACACAGTTGGCTGGGGTTTTTATCATCAATTGCTTGAAGAATTTTAATAAATGTGGGTAATAGAGCAACAAGGGGCTCCTGAGCTAAGGATTTCAAGTGGAGGTGACTTCCTCCCAGAAGCTTAAGAGTTTGTAATGAATAAACCAAAGCTTGTTTTGGCAGCCCGGAGTCTGGTTCCTGGTGGCCCTCCCTTCATCTTCCACTGTTGAGAAATGACACAGCATGCCTCGGCCCTAGGTGGACCTCCCATTGGGCTGTGTATAAGACAACTTCATGCATCTCTTAGCTCTGAGTCTAGCAAGATCCTTCCTTAAATGTTTTCATCAATAGGACAGAGGGTGTTTGGGGAGCTCTTTTTTAGTATTGGGGAAAGAACCCAAGGTGCTTTGTTATTGAGCCACATCCTAGCCTTTGGTGTGTGTGGGGGGGTACTGGGATTGAACTCAGGGGCACTTGACCACTGAGCCACATCCCCAGCCCTATTTTATATGTTATTTAGAGACAGGGTCTCACTGAGTTGCTTAGCACCTTGATTTTGCTGAGCTTTGAACTCAAAATCCTCCTGTCTCTGCCTCCTGAGCTGCTGGCCCAGCCTTTTCTTATTTTGAGGCAGAGCCTGGCTAATTTGCTTAGGGCCTTGTTAGGTTGCTGAGGCTGACTTGAGCCCTCCAGTCTCAGCCTCCTGAGTTGTTGGGATTATCCACCTGTACTACTGTGCTGGTCTGGGAGCTCTGGTAAAAAGCATCTTGTCAGAGCTGGGGTATGGCTCAGTGGTGGAGCCTGCTGTGTGTGAGACCCTGGGTTTCATCCCATCAGCACCAAAAAAGATAAAAAAAATTAAATAACGGATCAGAATAACAAATTTCAATTCAGTTGAACAGGTCACCTCATCCTCATTAAGAGGTTATCAATGATCTGATATTCCTGGGTACTGGTATAAATATGCTCTGGCTCTGGAAAATTTTTGAATAGTCCCCATCCTTTTAAAACTGAGGTGTCCCTGTGTTTCAGCACCCACTTCTTGTACTAAAAAAGCAAACTTTGTATTAGGAATTCTAGATTTTGAAAGTGTGAAATTTATTTTGCATATTCCTGGTCAACCATCATGGGACAGGGTGGGCAAGGGTAACCCTCTTGCATCTACTGCTCCCACTTGAACTTTTCTCTCGGCCAAAGACATCAACCTGAAGAAGGCAGAGGCTGTTTAGGGCAGGTAAATGCCTGGATCAGCTCCCCGAACTAGGAACAGATGGTGCGTCTGGTCTCATCTAGAGCTTGCTGGTAGTTGATGAGGACAGGATGAAGGCCTAGGGGTCACGGGGAGCCCCGCAGGTGCATCCTGCCTGGAGATGCCCACATTGGCAACGTCTTCAAATGACACTACTGGGTGGCACAGATTTCTGCATCTAGATGTCGGGTTGGAAGACAGGGGAGCGCCAGCTCTAGAACCCTAACATCCAGGCCCCACCCTGCAGAGGAGGAGTACCTGGCAGCCGTGAAAGGTCGGGCAGGGGAACAGGGAGTAGAGAGTGTCACCAGGTCCTGCAGTCACTGCGAGCCACCCTCGCCCTCCATTCATACATGTCACACGCTCCAAGTACTAGGACAGGTTTCCTGAAACAAAAGCCTGTCTGTCTGCCAACGCATTCTTCAGGCTTTCGTTCCAGCGATTGTTCTTGGCTGTGTGACTTTAGGCTGGGCGAGTGGCTGATGGGAGAAAAGGGACCAGTTATGGAATTAAGGCTGAGCCTCTGCTTTTCTTTTTATAGGTTCGAAACTTTAGCACAATTCTATTTGACCCAGAAAATGATACAGCTATAATTGGATTAGACCTCTCTCACTCCCCCAGAAAACTGCTTGCTCCCCGTATCCCCGTCTTTCCTCACTCCATTCTGCTGAGCACGGGATCATTTGTTTTGATTACCTTTATTTGAAGCAATGAATATAGAGATGTGTTGTTGTGTGTGCACATGCGTGTGTGTGCATATCCGTTTATGTACACACACGTGCATTTCACAGGCTCTTGGCATAGATTTTTAAGTTTAAAAGGGTAAAGATCTTCAGAGAGAGAGAGAGAGAGAACAGAGTAAGGAAAGCACTCTGATTTGGCTCCAAAGAGAGGATTGTTGAAATGGCATCATGAAGAAAATTAGAAGGAAACACCCTTTGATCCTTTTGTTCTTCACCCTGAGTCCCCCACTCATCACCGGCACTAGGAATGCAGAGTGTATCTTGTTCAAGATGGCAATGGTCCCTCCCCATGCAGGGGATATAAAGTACTAACTTACCCCCCTTCACAAGGTTCAAGGCTGTGACTCCTGTAATAAAAGGTGGATTAATGAGAAGAACATAGCAAAGTTCTGTAATACTAGTTTTAGGGGACACAGCAGAAATGAAGACCCTGGGCTGGGTGTCATTCAGCAGTGGAGCATGTGCCAAGCCCTGGGTCCCTTCCCAGGGTTGGAGGGGGCTGTGAATGAGAGCCCAAGGACCCAAGGAAAACCTCGGGTGCTGACAGGTAGTCGTGCACAAGTGTGATTGTAGGAGAGAAGGGAAAGCACTGGTGGTAACAGGAAAACACAGCACGTTCTGATTAGATCCCTCCTGGAGACCTGTGTGGTAGGTATAGGCTGGAACCCTGTCACAGAAGGCTCTTCAGAACGCAGGGCGAAGGTCAGCGTGACCTTCCAGGTTTTTTTTTTTTTTTTTTAGAGAGAGGGAGAGGGAGAGGGAGAGAGAGAGAGGATTTTTTTTTTTTTTTAAATAACATCTTTGTTTGTATGTGGTGCTGAGGATCGAACCCGGGCCGCACACATGCCAGGTGAGCGCGCTACCCCTTGAGCCACATCCCCAGCCCCAACCTTCCAGGTTTTATGGCCCACTTCATGGAAGAGGACGAGGGGACTGTTTCCATGGCTGGCTGCAGGAGAGTGGGTGGGAGAAGAGCAAGACACCCTCCTGCTCCTGCCGTTTCCTCAGCTTCCCTCGGTTCCAGAACACTCAGTATGCCACGGGGTCACCTTTGGAGCACTATGTTCTGAGCGATTCATGGAGGCCTTAGAGTCTGGCGGGAAATGCAGGCATCGGTGACAATAAACAGATTTTCATCCCTGCACAGAGCTGAATGCATGCACAGGGAAGAGGCCCACTCCCCTGATTCGGGTAAGGAGTATAATCAGAAAAGAATTTCTGGAGGAAGTGGCTTCTAGGATAAGACCTGAAGGGTGAGTTGGGGTTAGGACTGTTTCTGGAAACATGTTCAAGAGGGAAAATGAAGAAGGCATGTGCTGTCTGCTTCTCCTGTTAGGCTTCCCGTCATCCATACTTTGTCTTGTGTAAATGATGCGCCATTGAAGTTTCACCATTGCTCCGGGTCCCCAAAAGTACCTGTCACTCTGGTCTGAATGTTTGCTTCTGCCCCCAATTTACATTTTGATTAGATCTTGGATTCGTGCCCTTATACAATGGGCCCCGCAAGCTGCCTCACCCTCTTCCACTATGTTGGGATGCTACTGAGAAGGTGCCATCTGTGAACCAGGACAGGGCCCTCGGCCAGAGACTGAATCTCCCAGCACCTTGATCTTAAACTTCTCAGCATCCAGAACTGAGAGAAATAAATGTTTTGTTTATAAGCCACCTAGTTTGTGGTATTTTGTTATAGTAGCCCAAACAGACTGAGGCATCCATAAAAAAAAAAAAAAAAAAAACGTTTTACTAAAGCGCAGCCACGGGGGCTATTTCACAGGGAGATACTATATCATAATGCATAACTGCCTGTGTAACCGGCTCTACAACAGACATTTTGCCTTATATAATATGATCTTATATCTTTCTGACCATGTCCTGAACAGAAGAAAAGAATGTGTGGAAACTTGTCCTCTTAGTTTCTGAATAAAACAGACTCAGGGTCCAATATTGCTGACATGGGCTACAGATAAATCTTGAAGGTACAGCACTTTCCAAGCTGTTTTGAGGTAACATATTATATAAAAAAGTGTTTTGTGGTTAAATAAACTGGGGAAATACTGGGTTGAACAGTTTTTTAAATTATAGAATTTTGCAGAGTCTTTAATTTTGTATATTAACTAGTGTTCTCTAGAGAAAACAGTGGGCAGGTGTGTGAGGAGAAAGGGAGAAAACAGGGGTGGGGGGGTAAGATTTTAAGGAATTGTTTATGAAATTGTGGAGGTGTAAGTCCAAAATCGCCATAAGTCAGCAAGCTGGAGACTCAAGGAAAAGATGACGTTGCAGGTGGAGTTCAAATTCTTCTAGTCTCCTGGAAGACTTCTCTTCCTTAAGGGAGATCAGTCTGTCTTCTTCTTAAGGCTTTCGACTAGTTAGATGAGACTCACCCACACTACCAAAAGTGATTTTCTTCACTCAAATTCTACTGATTTAAATGTTAATTACATTTAGAAAATATCTTTACAGCATTTCAGACCAGTATTTAACCAAATTATCATATAAAATTAACCATCATGGGGGACTAAAGATGTAGCTGTGTGGTAGAATGTTGTCTAATATGTGCAAGGCCCTGAGTTTGATCCCCAGCACTGAACATCAAACAAACAAACAAACAGACAAAAAATTACAATATACTAAAGGCCTAGCAAATCTATAGAAAGGGAAAATAATAAACATTGCTTTCTCTCAATTTATTTAAGTAAAAAAATCCACCATTTTCAGAATGTCAATTAACATCTATTAAAACTTAGTTGGGGGAATCTTGATGTTTAATGATGATTATTCAGTTTTACCCCATTTATTTTTGTGCTGAAGCAATCATCAAAGCCTTGCCCCAAACAAAAGAAAACAACAACAATAAAAACACACATTTTCTTTTTTAGGAAGTAGGATTAAACCATTAGCTCATGTTTGCTTTTTTGATTCCAAAACAATAT